CTTGGGCCGGGGGGCTGGTGGAGGGGGCCGCTGCGGGGGGCGTCGTGGAGGCCTGCTCCCTTCGGCCGTCAGCCCGGGGCTCGCTGTGCTTCTCCTTCGCGGGAGTGGCCTCTTTGCTTTTGTGTTTTGGAACAGGCTCTTTCTCCCGTGTGGACCTGCTGGAACCGTTGAAAACTGGAACGGGAGGAGAAGGAGGGTGTGGTGAGTAAGCTAGGCAGTGGGCACCCCCCACGGCCTCCACTGCCCACAGCGGGGACAGTGACGGGGACTGTCCTCAAAGACACCAGCCCCACCAGGCACAGAGCGCGGGCAATCCGACACTCGGGTCGTAACCACGGAGCGTAAGCACACTCGGAGAACTCCTCCTCTGACTGAAAGATGGGAGAATCTACTCTTGAAAAGCTCCCTCCAGGCAGCCTGGCCACACGGCGGTTAAGTGCCACCAATGTCAGCTGACCCTACAGGCCCACTGCCATCTGTCCTGACCCGGTAGAACACACTGCATGTGCACGTGTGCCGCCAAACCCCGACAGGACGCGACGTGGAGGAGGTGTCATAGCATGGGCAGGAACCACCGGCCGGGGCTCCCCCAACCTCTCTCTCCTGCACAAATCCAGTACTTGAACGTTTGAAAAAAAAAATCCTACAAAGAAAGCCCACCGTCCCATTCACATCCTAAGAACAAGAGAAATTAAACTACAGAAAATAACCAATAACCACACACCCAGCAGAAGGCCACCATGAGTGTAAACTCAGAGATGGGAGAACCTCTGGGCTGGAAGTTAAGGGCTCTGGGGAAGAAGGATGCTGGAGGTCGCAGGCCAGGGACAACGGTATTCCCCTCACCTTATGGTGACAACAGAGAGGAAAGGGGGCTTCCAGTCAGACTCGCACCCTAGTGCCAATCCCGAGTCCCATGAGGGTGGGAGCTGAGCACCGTCAGAAGCTCCCCGAGCCAGGTGAACTCTGCCCAAGTCTCGCAGTGCTTCCAGCCTTGCACCCTCAAGTGACACCCCGGGGCAGGGCACTTTCAGATGGAGATGCTGAGCGCTGTCATTAAACACACCAGGTCAAGCTGCTTCCTGTGCCCACGGAGTCCTTATCCCCCACCCCCAGCTAGAAGTGCCCATTCCCCGTGCACACACAGACCCTGCCACCTGGGTGAGCCCTCCAAGCAGGGGAAGCAATGCACGAGGGGTCAGCACCTGGCAAGCCTGCCCTCGCTGCGTGGCGGGTTTCCTCTGCCCTGCCGGCTCCCACAGACAGGGGCCCAGGCAGCACCCATGCGGGGAATCGCGCCCTGAGCATCTGCATCTCTGGAACCCACTGCTCCCCTGCCCTCACCCGTCTCAGCCGGGCCCATTTCTTCAGGGCAGGAAGAAAAACACGCTGTTCTTGGCCTGCTCTAGACAGAACTGCCGGGAGAAGCTCCTGTGAACTCTTAGCTGTCACTTAACATTGCTGTCACAGGGAGCCTTCAAAGTCACTGTGTGTATGCCGTCTGTCACCTGAGCGACTCTGGAGGAGGGATCCCACTGAAGCGTGCAGAATTCCCAGGCACGGGACCAGCAGTTGGCATAATGGGTATGTCACTGGACTCCCATGTAGCAGACCGCGGTTCGAGTCCTGGACCCAGTGGCTTAAACTCACACTGGGCACATGTGCATGTGTGCCCAAGAGCCCAGGAGGAGAATGGAGGAGAAGGGATTGCAGCATGGCCATCCACCTTGCGGGGGAGGCGGCTGATTTCTCACTTTCTGTCTCTCTGTCTTTCTGGAAAATGCACGAGCCCTTTAGCAAAAATCTCTCCAAAAAAAAAAAAAAAAACAAAAGGAAAGAAAAGAAAATTCCCAGGCAAAATTCACTACCTGACCAGTCGGCCAGTTTTGAGTCGAAATCACTCTCCCTGTCAGCTTGATGAGCAGAATCAAATTGCCCTTCCCCCACCAGCTCCCAGGCCACAGAGAAACTAGCACTTCTCTGTCCCTACTGAGAGCCCCTGGCCAGCCTCTTAGCTATGAACCGGCTCCTTCAACACCCGCTCTTGCCTTCCTTTACAAGAGTCCTTTAAATTATATTTATGCTTGCAAATAGTGCAAATATTTCCTGTTTTCCTTATCTATGCCTCTGCCTTCTCATCTATGCTGGTGTTAAATCTGTTAACCAATTCTTTTTAAGAGAGAGATTTTTGCTATAGGAAACATGCTCTCACAGGCTATGAACCGGCTCCTTCAACACCCGCTCTTGCCTTCCTTTACAAGAGTCCTTTAAATTATATTTATGCTTGCAAATAGTGCAAATATTTCCTGTTTTCCTTATCTATGCCTCTGCCTTCTCATCTATGCTGGTGTTAAATCTGTTAACCAATTCTTTTTAAGAGAGAGATTTTTGCTATAGGAAGCATGCTCTCACAAAAGAGACTGACAGAATGAGAAATCACCCCAGGAAAAAAGGCCATGCTGCATTTCCTTCTCCATTCTCCTCGCAGGACTTGGGGCATGCACACACATGCACTTGGCATGTTGCAAGCTGCTGGGTCCAGGACTCAAACCGCGGTCCACCCTATGGGAGTCCAGTGCCTTAACAACTACGCCCACCTGCTGTCCGCTGTTAACCACATTTTAAGTTTCTTTGCTTTCCTGCTCACACAGTCCTTTCCTCCCAGTTTTATTCAAGAGTAATTGACAGATAAGATCTGCACATTATTTACCGTGTATGACGGGGTTTGAAATAGGCATACATTCCGAAAAGATTAAATCTAGCCCAGTAACATATCCGCCATTTTGGGGGACTATTTAAAATCTAAGCAATTTTTAAATGCTAAGTATACAGGCTAGGTTATTCATCGACCTGCAGAGCCTGCTCCTCCTGGCTGATAAACGCTGGACCCCTTTTTCCGACATCTCTTCACATGCCCTCGTGTTTTCAAGGAGAAAGTCCTCAGAATTTCATGCTAATTGTTTTCTGAGTCAATGGCATGCATTCCATTCTTCAGCCCACTTGCTGCAACTTCGTATATGGGATTACATTTTCTGTATCGGGACTGAAAGTAACCCCCGGTGTCCAAATTCCTCCCAGCTCCTCCAGTGACACATATTCAAACCAGAGTCCCAACGGTGAAATAAAGACCATGTCGGGTCAAAACACGGGATCGGATCCCAGGCTGCGTGGGCTTCTCCAGGCCGAGCGTCCATGGCTGGCATGCATCCTAAGTGTAAGGAACTACCCGTTGTCAGAAGCCATCCATCAGACCCCGGCTGGCATATCTGTGCTTGCCCTCAAGACAAATTAAACGCAACATCCGGAAGAAGTCAGACTTCACTGTGATTAAAAATCAAGCCAAGGAACATGAATCCAGGCAATTCTTGACCGTTCACCAATTTTCTAAAGCAGTGAACACAACCCCTTTACGAGAAACAGCACAGGAAGTAGTTGGGGACTTTTAACCTCCAGTGTGGCCTACTTAGGATTTCTGTTCACTAAGACGTGCTCCGTGGCTCAGTCTGATACTGACAAGTGCCAGTTCTCGAATTATTTCTTTCCTCGGCTATTAAAAAAAAAAAAAATTCTGTGAGTCCTTCCCCCTTCTTAACTGTGTCCTGCGGGTCACTTCCCAGCCCTGCACCTGGGAGAGTTACTCACGCCTAGGTTTTAGGACACACACTAGTTACAGAACACACAGCATTCTGGGGTACTAACAGGGGCTCGGGAGGCCCCCAATTTTTGGGAGATGTCACTGTGCCACGTTTAAAGGGGCCTCACAGATTACTACATAAACACTGAAAATCATACGCACAGCTTCCTTTGGCTTGACATTGGCATGTACTCAGACCGGGAGCCCTCAGAGCAGACCAAGGACGCCCCTCATAGCAGACCAGGGACTCTTGAGGAACCTAGAACCCTTATCAGGAAATCCCCAGGGGCCAACGCTATTTCCATAATAAGACGGAGACCTCAGCCGGGCCCTGGCTGATGTTCCCACAGGCTGTATCAACAACGAGGGGGATGGCCATCAGGGAAATGTGATCAAAACCAGGGATATACCATTCACATCCCAAAGATGGCTATCCGAAAACACAGATGAGGCCGAGCGTTGGCAAGGAGGTGGAGAAACCGGGACTCTCACTGTTGGTCAGAACCTAAAATGGTGCCACCACGTTGGCAACCAGGCTAGAAGATCGCAAAAGGGAAACTTAAGAGTTGCTACAGGGGGGCCGGCAGGTGCCAGGGTGGTTACGGTGATTGGACGCCCACATGGCTGGCTGACTGTGGTTCGATTCCTGGATCTGGCAGCTTACTTTCTCACTTTCCTTCTCTCTCTCTGTCTCTCTCTGGTCAACATCATAAAAAATAAAATAATGACAATGAATGAAATTAAATAAAAATAATTCTTTCAAAAAAAAAAAAAAGTTGCCACAGGAACCAGCAATTCCATCCCTCGGTGTGTGTACAAGAGAGACAAACACTCCCGCCACGTGAAGACTTGTGCACCCGTGTCCACAGCAGAATTATAAACGACCAGTACGATTAGGGGCTGAGGGACAGAGCCATGGGTCCACCGGCTGGTGTGAGGTAACAATGTGAGCCACAGTCACATAATGGCACGGCACCCGGACACAAAAGGAGTCGAGTGTGACCGAGGCGAAACCAGGGGAGACGCCAGGGAGCTGCAGGAACGTCGGATGGGCAAACGTACCGAGGCAGAAGGTGGATGGGTGAGGTTTGGGGATATGGAGGAGCGAGGGCTAAAGGGTATCAAGATTCAGAGGCGGAGGGGCAGTTCCTGGAAACGTTCTCAGTTGGGAGGCAGTGGAGGTTTCGGGGAGTACACTAAAACCTGTCAAGTCAAGCAAAATGAATGGAAACTATGTGTGCAACCTATTTGGAGAAACACTGGGTGAGGGCCAGCCGGTGGCTCGGTGGTTAAGGTGACTGGATCCCACAGGGATGACTGTGCGGTTCAAGGCCAGGACCTGGCACCTTGAAAAACATGTAGGCTGTGACTATGTGTGTGTGTGTGTCCATCCAAAATCCTGACGGAAAGGATTTTCTTCACCCGCCAGACAGAGACAGAAAGCGAGAAATCACCCCCCAGTGGGGATGGCCATGCCACAATCCCTTCTCCTCCATTCTCCTCTCGGGATCTTAGGCACGCACGCACATGTGCCTGGCGT